TTAATGAATATAATTCCTCTTGCTTTGTTACAATGATTTACACATAGACCAAGCAGAAATCTTAGGGATACCAAAGAGATTTTTAAACCTTAGCTTTCATTGAAGGTATTAGATGGGAGTTTGGCAAATAGATGTTATACCATACTGAGTACTGTTGTGGTTCAGATCTGAATTTTTTTAATCCTTCTTCTTAAACCTTTTTTTAAGGAAATCATTTAACCCCAAAGGATAGCTGAGTTTTTGAGATTTGTAAACTCTTCTGAAAGTTCACATTAAAATATTTCAAAGTAAATTTAAAATCTTTTCCTAGTGGTCATTTAATTACAACCTGTATGTTTGCCTGTTGATTTGTGAATGTTTGGAATGCTGAATTAAAGGTGCTGTGTTGGTTGTTGAGGAAGGAGCACAGAGTTGAAATCAGACAGCCTTGGTGAGAATCCCAGCTCTTCCGTGTCTCGACTCCATGACTCTGGCCAAATTACTCAAGTTCTCTGAAATCCAGTTTTTTCAGCTATAAAATGTGCTTACTGACAGCAACTGACTAATCTTGCACCCCTGAGATTGTCGTCCAGCCCTTCTTCTCCTTTTCACTTTCCACCTCCTGCACTGCCATGTTTTTGTGGCAACTGTCTATTTAAAGCTTGATGTCTATGTATAGAATCCTGGCAGACAATTTTGTATGCATAAATTCTGATTATATTTACACCCACACATAATCTATTAATAAAAATTGGAATGTATTTCACAGTGTTCCAGAATTTACTATTCACTTAATAGTATCTCATAGACATCTTTCTATGTGAGCAAGAATGAGCAGGATGAGAACTAGCTCGTCTTTTTTGATGGCTGAATAGTAATCCCCTATTGGAAATGATTGTGGAGTACACATCCTTGTGAATATGTCTTTGTATACTAGTCTCAGTATTTCTGTAGGATACGTTCCTACAAGTGAAACTCGGGTTCAGGAACATGGGCACTATTAATTTTATAGATACTGTCAGATTGTCATCTAAAAAGGTTGTGCCAGTTTGCAGTTTAAAATAGTTTTTTCATACCATGGCCAGCCCTGAATAGTGTCATTCTGTTCATTCCTGCCAGTTGGGCAAAAATGATACCTCTTTATTGTGATGGCTTTCTTCCTTCCTTCCTTCTCTTCCTTCCTTCCTTCCTCTCTCTCTCTCCTCTTTCTTTTAATAACGTTGTGTATCTTTGATAGTTATTTCTTCTTGTCAGTTGTCTTTTCATATTCTTCATCCATTTTTCTATTGTGTTGTTTTATTGATGTAATTTGTTTTAGATGCTTTTCTCCCAGGTTGTCATTTGTCCTTTGCCTTTATTTATAGTGTTTGCTGAAGATTTAATTTTAAATAGCTGGATCTCAAGCTTCTCGATTTCCCGTCATGCTGAAAAAGGCCTCAACATCCCAAGGTCCACTTCTGTTTTTTTCTAATACATTTTTCTAGCTCTACTTCTTACATCTAGATCTTCCATCTGTATACAGTTTCTTCTTATGCATGATGTAAAGTAGGGATTAAACTTTTCTTCCAAATAGATGGTCAATTGTTTTGCTTCCACATATTGAAGTATATTTTTTAAATCCCCCTAAGATGAAATTCAGCCACCTATAAGAATGTTAAACCCCATAAATGTAGCAGTCTTTTTTTGGACTTTATTTTTTTTACATCTGTTAGCACCTACCATTTTATTTGCTATGCCTTAGAGTGTATTTTGGTAACAGAGAGCAAATCTCCCTCATTCTTATTTCTCAGACTATTTTTGGCTCTTCCTAAGTGTTATTCTGCCAGAGGCACCTTATTGTCAAAGTTAAATTCCTCCCCCAAATCACTGGATTGTCTTATATTTTTGTGTTAATATAGGAGTGGCTATTATCTTTATAATATGGCTTTTTCCCATCTTAGTAATGGTCTGTCTCACTATTTATTTAGGGGTTTTCTTGTGTGTATTGTTTTATTTATACAGGTAGTGCTTTTTTTTTATTCCTCAGTGTTTTACAATTTTTGTTACTACTATTGTGAATGGGATGCTTTCTTCATTATATCTTGTAACTGACTAGGATTTGTGTGTTAATTTTATATTTTATGTCTACCATCATTTAAATTCTTATCATCGTAATATTTTTGTTGTCATAACTTTTATTTACCAAAAACATAAGGCCAGTGTATATAAGGCAGAAATCCTTAGAGATACAAGGAGATTCTGGGGGAAGGAAAACAAAAACTCAATTCTCTTTCAGAGTTTGAAAAATAAAGTACAGAAAGATGTAAGTAAGGATTTGTATGAGACAAACTCTTTTTAACAAAGAACTTTACACGTAAAAGAAAGTACTCACCTTATACCCTATGGAACAAAAACCACGTATATATGTAGTCATAAAGAAAACAATAAATAAATTTTACCAAGTAGAAATTGTACAGGTTACTTAACATTCTCTGACCATAATGCAATAAAACTAGAAATCCAACAATTAAAAGATAACCATAAATAACCTGACCCTATGGAAATTTTAAAACACTTTTCTAAATAATTTATTATTTGAATTAGTTTACTCTTAGATTAAAGAGAAGCTTAAAGGTAAATTACATATTATGTAAAGATTAACAAAAATGAGAAAAGTTCAGTTAAAAGTATATAACTACATGTTCTATGATTAATCAAAACTGAAAATAAATTATCCAAGTTTCATCTCAAAAATAAATAAAATCAAAGAAACTAGGAAAGGGGAATTTAAAAAGATAAAATAGAAGTTACAAATTATAAAATAAAGCAATAATCCTCCCAAAATGGAAATAAAACTCAATGTTTTCTCTTTCTTAGAAAACCAAGGAAACAGATGAGAATTAAAATAATTATAAAAGATACTATGTACAAATTTAAGCCAACACATTTTTAAATCTAGATTAAAGATTTTCATGGGGAAATCTGTTATCATTACCAAAATTGACTCAAAAAGAGATTGAGGGGCCAGCCCGGTGGCACAGCGGTTAAGTGCGCACGCTCCACTTTGGCGGCCCGAGGGTTTGTAGGTTCAGATCCGGGGTGCGCACCGATGCACCACTTGTCAAGCCATGCTGTGGCAGCGTCCCATATAAAGTAGAGGAAGATGGGCACGGATGTTAGCCCAGGGCCAATCTTCCTCAGCAAAAAAGAGGAGGATTGGCATCAGATATTAGCTCAGGGCTGATCTTCCTCACAAAAAAAAGGCCCAGACACCTATGTTTTTTCTAAAAGCCCCATGGATGATTCTGATGTATAGTCAGAGTGGAGAGCCAGTGGTGTGGTCTTGTGTGTGACTAAGCTGTAAGGGATATGGAAGTACTGTGGGAGATGATGTTGGAAAGATATATTGGAGCCAAATGATAACCAAAAACGTTGTTTTGGTATTGTGGATTTGAATGTTTTCTTTTTTTAATTTCTATTACGTCACCACCATCCCTCCGTTAGATATCAACCAGATATCCCTTAAACAAAACTTGACCGCTTGTGTGAATTCAAAGCAAAGCGTGTTAAATGAGATGAAGAGGAGGAACCAGTTAAGAGTCTTGTTCCAGTTAGATATTGCTATATAATTGACCCCAAAACTTAAAACTCACTCACAATCCTGTGAGTTGACTGGACTCAGCTGGGCACTTCTTCTGCTCTGTGTGGCAGGGGCCACAGTCATCTGGGGGATCAGTGGGGCTTGAGTGTCCAAGATGGCTCACTCACATGGCTTTCAGCTGAGAGCTCAGCTGGGGCTGTTGACTGGAACATCTTTATGGACTTCTCACTGCATGGCAACTGGGTTCGAAGAGGAAGCATTGCAAGAGCAAGCATTCAAAAAGGCCCAGGCTACCAGGCTTTGGTAGTCTCAGATGTTACTTCCACCATATTCTATTGGTCAAGCAAGTCATTAAGGCCAACTCAGATTCAAAGATGAATTAAACTCCATCCCTTGATGGGAGGAACAGCATGTGCATACAAGGAAAGAAGGAAATTGATGGCAATCCTTTTTTGGAGAATTGCTACTGCAGTCTTAATGCACCAAGTACTATAGCATCAAAATACATAAAGCAGAATTTCAGGAAATTTAGATAGACGTCAACAAAAGTACAATTAGACAAAACAAGTAAGAATAAAAGGAATCTGAATAATATAAAATGCTTATGTAATAGGTTTATGTATTGAATTCCTTATCTGACAATAAAGAGTACATCTTCATTTCAGGCATCCATAGAATATCTGCTCCCCCCTAAAACAAGAAGCACTTGTACCCCTATATACTCTTATAAATCTGAAGCCTTAATGATATGTTTTCCTCGCCTCTCAGCCTTGCAGAAATAGTGTGTTTGCTTCATCTATTATTATGCCCTGCTCTGTATTAAATGCGGTTCTTCCCATTGTGCAGTCCCTTCCTCTGGATGACTTTTTTACACATGGTGTAAACAATTGGGTTATACATTCTCTCTTAAGTTCGTTTTTTATTTGTTTTCTGAAAAGAGCGGCATTGAAGGCTTTATTTTGATTCTTCACAGTCTCACGATAAGAGTAGTTTTGACTTGTCCTGGGTGCTCTATAGGTTTCAGGGTCACCATCCAGCAGCCTCTGGAATCATCTTCGATTTCCCAATAATGCTGACCTGGGAATTGAGCTGGAATCATTGCCATCCCTGTTATCCATGTATTGTTTTTTTAAGCCCCTTAAAAAAATAATAGTTTTAAGATAATTTGTTTTAAGTCTTTGCTTTGCTTTCTGAAACTCAGTTATTTTACCTTCCTAGTAAGATACATGGAGTCTGAGGTGAGAACCCAGGTTGTGGGGATGATGTAATTTCCTGGCCTGACAGTGATGAGTCCTAGTTACTTATTGCTTCTGTCTCAGTGTCCCCGTATGATTATAGGAGTTCTTTCGGAACTGAGTCTTGGCATTAAACCAGCCAGGATGAGAAGTGTAAGCAAACAGCCGTCTTCCTCAGTAACGCTCAGATCTGCTTGCTGTTTCAGGTCGTCACGCTGTGGTACAGAGCTCCAGAAGTCTTGCTTCAGTCCAGCTACGCCACCCCTGTGGACCTCTGGAGTGTTGGCTGCATATTTGCAGAAATGTTTCGTAGAAAGTAAGAAATACCTTTTGTTTCACTCTGTCTTCCTTGGAAAGAGATTTTTGGGTCTTCAGTAATTTAAGTGGCAGCATAACGTTTCTGTTTCAAGTAGAGTTGTGATGTCCAGATCCACTTACTTCAGGCTACCACTTCCAAGCCTGTCCTGAGACCACCTTCTCAGTCCTGACAGCGTAGTTTTGTATGACTGGAGCTGCCAGCTCTTGGAAACTCTGTTTGGAAAGGAACACTCCACCGTTCGTATGGTTTATTTTGTTTTTTTGTTTTGTGTGTGTGTGTGTGTGTGTGTGTGTGTGTGTGTGTGAGGAAGATTAGCCCTGAACTAACATCCGATGCCAATCCTCCTCTTTTTGCTGAGGAAGATTGGCCCTGGGCTAACATCCGTGCCCATCTTCCTCTGCTTTATATGGGATGCCGCCAGAGCTGGCTTGACAAGCGGTGCGTCGTCCGTTTGCAGGGATCCAAACCTGCAAACCCCGGGCCGCCGAAGCGGAGCACGTGAACTTAACCGCTACGCAACCAGGCCGGCCCCACGGTTTATTTTGTTTTCGTTGGTGATGAGAGAACGCGGTAAACATGAAGCATATTGTAGTATTTTTTTTGTGAGTGAGGAAGTATCCTCAAGGTGGACTTTGTCCACAGGAGGCAGACCAGGGCTGTTAAGTATATGGAAATGCTGATGGTGAGAATAGTTGAAAAAGCAGAATGTTTAGACTGAAAAGGAAGAGGCAAGGAAGATGTCAGCGCTATTTCAGACTACTTCAAATGCTGTCATGTGGGGGAGAGATTAGACATATTTGGGCCCTATAGAGAGCAGAACTAGGACCAAAGATACAAAAATTACAGAAATAAAGATTTTTACTCAGAAGGGGAGGAAAATCTAATGATGAGACAGTTATCTGAAGAGAAGTTTGGGATTCGTGAAAATAGTGCATTCTCATTGGGTGTCAAGAAGAGACTGCACCACCACACACTGGAGGTGTTCTCAGCGGCATTCATAGGGTAGGTGGGTGGGCTAGATGACCTCCAGGGCCCCTCTGAGTCTCAGAGTCTGTGATTCATTTGTTTGGTTTTCAGGTCACAAGAAACAGCCAAACAGTATAATAAAGATCTGCCAGGAAAATAATCCATACCTGGGTACTAAATTCAGCCTGGTCAAAATTAAACAGAGAACTTAATCATAATCTAATCTCTCTGTTTTCTATTTTTATTTCCATGGGAAAATGTGAGTTGGGAAGCTGAGTATATTCCCATTGGACATGTTATATAAAAACATAGCTACATGGTAGCTCACAAGGAAAAGAAGTGGTCAGCCATTGCTTGCTTGTTTGTTTGTTTGTTTTAACCAAATCAAATGTGGTGCATCTAATAAATTTTGGGACCTATTTCTAGAACTCACAGATTCATCTGTAGCTCACAGGAGGGGATCGTGGCAAGGAAATCAAAGGACACAGGTGTTTAATGCAGGCCTGCTGTGTGCCAAGTATAAGACCAAACCTCTTCCCTTCTGTTACCTTTTTATTCCTCATAATAAAAGATAACTGAGATGCGATGGTAAATTTATTTGTCTAACATCAAGCAGCTAAAAAATAGCAGGGGTATTACTCCAAAGGAAGTCTTGTGGATTCTAATCCAGTGTGTTTTTCTACCGAGGAGGAAAGAAGAAAAGTCATATTGAATTCAGCTGCAGTGTTTGCCAAACAGGCTAAATAAGTGGTTTTGGAAGTGTGGTCCTTGGACGAGCAGCCTCAGCATCACTGGGGTCCTTCTGGGAAACGCACATTCTCAGGCCCCACCCCATACTGAGTGGCTCAGAAGCTGTTGGGCTGGTGCTCAGCAACCTGTGTTTTAACAAGCCCTCCAGGTGACCCTAATTCACCCTCCAGGGTAAGAACCACTGGGTTAGATGACGGGATCACCAGGGATAGGCAGCCTTTACAAGTGTTGCTCCCAGACCTCTCCTTTGAGATTCTAATTTATTACCGGGTTGGGTCCAGGCATTCTTGTTTTTGAAAGTGCCCCCTGTAATTCTTTCATCAGACAAGCGTGGAAGACATTGGGTTAAAGCCTTATGGTCAGAACCAGGAATAGTTTACTATCAATATTGCAGGGTGGGAGTTAGGACAGTCATTCTAGTTAATCCCAGAATAACTTGGTGCAGCTGAGAGCTGATTAGAGAAGTGTTTATTGGAATTACATTTATGTGTCTAGAATTGTCCTCAAATGTAAAGATTGGGTCCTTCTTTTGTTATGGGGGTAAGGTGAGCAGTTATTTTTCAATAGTACAAGACTTGAATGTCAGCCATAATTGATGATTAAACCAGTATTTTTCTAAAAGATGTTAAAAGAAGGATAAAATTTAAGATATGTACTTAAGCATTCACTAGTAAGGAATTTGCTGTATTTTTAAGTATAGATAGTCACCATCTATGGAACAATTGCAACCCGAATTTTAATTTATTAACATTAAAATATTTTCCCACTGAAGTGGTAGTATAATTGCTAATCTGATTCCCAGGCTACTTTGCAGAATCCTACATAACCTGGAACATATATGAAACATTTTTTGTACTGATTCATCCTATTTGTAACATTTTTCTATGGGAAAGTTCATTCTGTGATCCAATCCAAGAAGACAAGAATACTCCTCTCTTCACCCCATGAAGCCCGCTCCATGTTGGAGGCTCAGAGAAAGGCTCTGTGATGATAGCAGCAACATTGTGCTTCAGTTTGTTGGGAGAGTCGTCTGTTGGGTAGAGACCCACTGACTCTTCAAAATGTGCACAAAAGAAAGTACCCCCTCTCTTGAAGCCTTGCACAGAGGTAGTAAATTGAGAAGTAGTTGCCTGGAGGAGATAGCAATATCAGAATCCAGGCCTGTGTGCCTTTAAGGCTGAAGGTGAAAAAATCTGGGCCTACCACACACCCTTCCTGGGGCGGGTGCCCTGTCTCCTAGGTAGTTCCTGCCAGTTTGGCAGTGACATTGAATATGGCCATGGGATCTGACCCTTGTTCCTGCTTAGTTCACGTTTGGTATTTCCTATGATAACACCCAGATATCTGAATGTGCATGCTTCTTACTTATGCCACATGTGTTCTGGGGTCCAACTACTAGTTTGACCTGGTTCTAGCTTGCCTCCTCATTCAATGTTGACCCACCTGTTTCAGTGTCCAGCTGAAATTCACAAGCCATGGATTCTGAAAGCAGATTCCGTCATTTCCTTAGGCTAACCCTAAATCTGGGAATCCTGGCATGTGTCCGGCCTGGGTTCCTAGTTGTTGGTATAGCAGTAGTTCCCAAATTTTGTCATTTTTTTTAACACCTTCGTGGTTGTTTTAATATTCTTATCATAATTATACTTACTTAATGTTTTTACTGCCCTAAATCAATTTACTTTTTTATTTTAGCCTCATCCTAAGTAAAAATATATAAAATCACAGATTTGATGAGCCAGTTATTTATTTGCCTAATACACACTAAAATAAATATATAACCATTAAAATTATTAAGAAACTTAGTCCATGTTCAACCCCTGAAATCATCTCTCATATCACCAATGGTCTATGTCACATGTTGGAAACCCTGTAACAGGTTTATCATTCAGTCTACAAATAACTTATTGAGTGGCTGCTATATGCAAGACCCATTTCTAGAAGGATACCTTAAATCCTAGTGGGAAAAAGAGGCATTGCATGCACGATTAGTTAATTAACCAGAGCTGGGTAAGTGCTTAAAGAAGTGTAGGGTTCTGAGAATGGGTATAATGAGAAGACTATTCCCAGAGGGAGAGAGATGACTCAGTGGAAGCCTAGAAGTCAGGATTAACCTTCCTTAGAGGTCACATCTAGTTTTTTATATAAAATCATTAAGGAATAATCATTTATGCGTCAGCAAGGCTCACCATCCTCTGTTACCTAGGGAGAAAAAAAGAAGCAAAGGGAGTTAACACTTGTCTGTTATTTGACAGACCAGGGCCAGTCCCTTCACATGCATTATCGCATTAAACCTATATTCTGAGGACTATTATCCAATTTCCAGATGATGAACTAGAGCCTTCCACAAGGAGAGTAAATAACTTGTCCATGGGTACATAGCTCTTTTTTGTGTGTGTGTGAGGAAGATTAGCCCTGAGCTAACATCTGTTGCCAATCCTCCTCTTTTTGCTGAGGAAGACTGGCCCTGGGCTAACATCCGTGTCCATCTTCCTCTGCTTTATATGGGACTCCGCCACAGCATGGCTTGACAAGCAGTGCATTGGTGCGCGCCTGGGATCCGAACCTGCAAACCCCGGGCCGCTGAAGCGGAGCGTGTGCTCTTAACTGCTTGCACCACTGGGCTGGCCCCGGGCACACAGCTCTTAAATGGCAGAGCCAAATTTGAACCCAGGTCCACCTGACTCTGTAACCTTTGATTTTTCCGCTCTGCCATGTTTCTGCCCATACTGTTGTTTTACCTACTAGGCCATTTTTTTTTTCTGGAATGTTTTATGCATTATTACAGTGTAGCAGCAATGATGTTTTAGAGAGGTCAAGAAGCAAATGACACATTTAATAGCTTTGATTTCCAGTCTCTTGTATATTAGAAAGGTTGACCAGTTCTCTGTGATATTATTATTAAGAGGTGCATGCCTTCTATTCTAAAATGGAATACCTAGGAAATATGAACTCAATAAAAAGAGTCTTAGGGCAGATGGTTGACAAAGAGCCAGAGAGTTTAAATACCCATCTGTCACTATTATCTGGGTTTAATAATCGCTCACACTGACCCACAGAAGCATTCTAAAAATGGATAAGAGCTGGATTTTTTATCTTCCTTCTTTAACTCTTCTTCCATGGGTAATCCATCTTTATTCCACATTGAGTTATATTTTAATACTAAAAAACATTGCTATGAATTTGGTCAGTGGACAACTAGCCAGCTTAGAGGATGGGATAGGATGGGATGGACAAATGGACAGATGGATGAGATAGATTGATCTTTAACTTCACACCAAATT